GATTTCCTGTGGACAGATACAATTCTATCACAGACATAGTAAATAATATGTTTTCTTACTCAAAATGGCCAATGCCTATCCATTTCAGCTCCAATTGCCTAGGAGATCGATCTTGAGGCTTTCCATTTCACTTTTTACAACTTCCAATTTCCCTATATTCATATTTGGTGCATTCCATGCTCAGATTTGTAGCCTTTTGCAGCTGTTTCTTCTCACCTTGAGTTGCGCTGCATCAGCACAGGATTTAATCCATTCATGTCGCCAGGGTTGACTCTACTTTGAGAAAGCAGCTCATTCAGAGACCCCTTTTGCTTTCAGACCCGAGGGGCCCAGCCTGTGGCAACATCTCTGACAATGTTCTGCTTCCATTCATGAAGCCCTCATCATCTGACAACGTCTGCATGCTGTGCACAAGGCTTTCCGTGGCTACTTCTTCTGAATGGGCTTCTGAGTCCTCCTTCATGGTCTCTTCATAGTCTGGAAGTGCCACTGAAACCTGTTCCCTTTGGTGACCCTGCTGGTTTTGACATACCAGTGACAGCATCACAGCCACACACAAGCCACCACAGTATGAAAAATTGACAGAAAATTGGTGGTATTTGTCATTAGAGAGATGCAAATTAAAACAATGAGATATCACCTTACCCCAGTATTCATAAAAGAGCGCAAAAAACAAAAGGAAATAAATGCTGGCAAGAACAAACTGGAGCATCGCTACAAGGCAGGTGGGACTGTAAAATCAGGCGATCACTCAATGGTTGAATGGTGCTGCCTCAGCAGTTGGGAAACTACACAATACAGCAATCCCTTTACTTGGAGATCTCCTACAGAAATAACCCCTGTAACACAAATTGATATGTTCATTTGCAGCACTGTGCAAACCAGGATGAATGGTACATACTTGGGTACACACACACAGTGGTATATTATGAAAGTTAAAGAATAATAATGAATCTGTGAAACTTCTGGCTGAACGAACCTAGATGAAATTATGCTGAGTAAAACAAGCCAAAAGAACAAATATTGTATGAGATCACTATTATAAGACATTAACAATAGCTTTTGATAATAAAAGAAATATTCTTTTATAGTTATCAAGGATTGAAGAAGATGGAGAAAGAGAATTTTGGTAGATGAGTTGAATCAGCATGTTTATGAATTATTGAAGGTAAAACAATGACCTACTCTGTAGGCCTTCACCTAATTCACAATGAAAGGTTTAAAAGTAAATAAATAAATTGATAAGGGAGGCAATGCCAATTAATATTAAGTATCAATTAGGTTAGGGTATAATTCTTAAAGATTCAACAGATACTCTGTATTACCTCCCTTTTAAAAATCCAATGTAATTATCTAATCAGTTGGAAAGGTAATTTTGGCAAAATGAATATTTTGGCAAAGCACTCTCTCCTTTTTGAAAACAGTTTTATTGGCAAATAATTCACAGATCATGCAATTCAATAGTTCAATAATATCAAGAAGAGTT